ATAGAATACCAGAAGATATGTCAGATAGAATGCCAGAAGATATGCCAGATAGAATGCCAGAAGATATGCCAGAAGATATGCCAGATAGAATGCCAGAAGATATGTCAGATAGAATGCCAGAAGATTTGCCAGATAGAATGCCAGAAGATATGCCAGAAGATATGTCAGATAGAATGCCAGGAGATATGTCAGATAGAATGCCAGAAGATTTGCCAGTAAGAAAATGTATAAATGCCATGGTGGGGATCATTCGAAGTGAAGTATTTTTTTTAACCGAAATGACGCTAATATGACACCATTTGCAGGTATGAAATCTAGTCACAGTGTCACAATAGCACTTGCAGTCGTAGTTGTTGTTCCTGAAGTACTTTGAGAGTCCGGATCTTGTCCGGTCGTACTTCAAGCAATGCGGACCGCAGGGAAGTTTACCGTTCCTTGTGTCCACATGCTATCCAAGTCCCTACGGATGGGCCAGCGAAATCCGAATCACCAGTTGAAAACAGTGGTTTATCCCATTAGATCCCATTATTTATAGGACTTGAACCATCGAAGGTGGTGCGGGATTTCTTCCACCGTATGTTTCCGAATACGGACAGAGACAGCTGTGTTTATTCTCAATAACAACTCCGCACGGACCCAAAATGTGATCCTTCAACAACACAAAAATTGCAACATGTGGGTTTGGGGGTCTTCAAGTTTGCCCTTTTTGCACAATTGCAGTCCCAAAAACAAAAGGTCGCCGGAGAATTAGCATGAATCAGCCAGATTTGGAGGTTTGTCCGTTCAACCAAAGTTGGAATTAACATATACCATGAATTGGTGTCAATTAATTTGGTAATATCCGTCAACACATACCATAAACTGTCAATGATATAACAAATACACAACACTATCAATTCTAAATATGTGCGATGATGACGTGATTTCTGACCAGTTGCAATCCAGGTGTTGGTCTGGTAACAGACACCTTGGGCATCACGAAGAACGCGGAGGATGTGTCCCGAGTTTGGGGTGAGACTCTGAGCCCATATGCTCCATGTATGCTCTATTTACCTACATGTGGCTCCTGTTTTTGAATGAAGCTTTGTAAATATGCCATACATTGAGCATAATATGGATAATTTTCTGTAGATACTTTCTTTCACAGCCCCGGGCGGCTGAATCGATTGAAGATGGTGCAATTGTTTCGATGGTGCCTAAAGCCACGAAAAACAGCAATTTTTCGCAGCTTCATCCCGAGGGATTTAACGACAGCTCTTGATTGATCGTTTGCAGACAGACTATCAAGTGATATTACCCTTTGGTAAACAAACAGTTTGCTATTGAAAATTGCCATTGAAATAGTTGATTTACCCAGCTACAAAATGGTGATTCTCCATAGTTATGTTTGTTTACCAGACGGTAGTATTCCAATCTTGATCAATGTTTATGATTACCAGTAGTACCGCACAAGGCGCTGGCGGAAGTTTTAAACATAGAAAAACCTATAGGAGAGGTTGGTTGTTGTGAATCGCGAATGGCAGAGCGAATCCACTGATGGACGGAAAGGTGGTTGGAGTTGTGTTTTTTGAAGTGGCTGCACTGGTTGCAGTGGTCTCATCACCCACAACTGCTTGATGTAGTGTGGTGTAGCGAAGTTGTAGTTGTAGTTGTAGTGTAGAGTAGTGGATTTGTACTTGTAGTGTAGTGTAATTAGTGTGTGTGTGTATATAATTGTAGTTGCAGTTGCAGTTGTAGTTGTGGTATGGTGTAATTAGTGTAGTGTAATGTAGTGTTGTGTGCTGTCGTGTGGTTGTATAGTGTGGTGTAGTCGGTGTAGCGTAGCGTATTGTAGTGTAGTTGTAATTAGTTGTAGCTGCCGCTGTAGTTCTAGTGTAGCGTAGTGTCGTGCAATTACTGTAGTGTATTGCCGTGTAGTGTGGTATAGTTGTAGTTGTAGTGTAGCTGCAGTGTATTTGTAATTGTCGCTGTAGTGTATTGTAGTTTAGTGTAATTAGTGTAGCGTAGTGTAGTGTAATGTAGTTGTAGTTGAAGTTGTAGTTTTTTTTTTAGTAGTAGTTGTAGTTGTAGTGTGGTGTCATTAGTGTAGTGTAGTGTAGTGTAGTGTACTGCGTGTTGTGTTCTGTAGTGTAGTAGAGTGTAGTGTAGTCTAGTGTAGTGTAGTGTAAAGTAGTGGGTAGTTGTAGTTGTAGCTGTCGTTGTAGTTGTAGTGTAGTGTGGTGTACTGTAATTAGTGCAGTGTAGTGTTGTGTAATGTAGCGTGGGTGTTGTTGTAGCTGTGGTGTCATTGTGTAGTGTAGTGTAATTAGTGTAGTGTAATGTAGTGTAGTTGTAGCTGAAGGTGTAGCTGTATTTGTAGTAGTTGTTGTAGTTGTAATGTAATTAGTGTAGTGTACTGTAATTAGCACAGTGTAGTGTAATTTGTGTAGTGTAATGCAATCAGTGTAGTGTAATGTAGCGTAGTATATCTGCACATGTATTTGTATTTGTAGTTGTAGTGTAATCGCAGTTGTAGTCGTAGTTGTCTATCTATCTATCTATCTATCTGTCTATCTGTCTATCTGTAAGCTATTCTGCGAGATTTCCTCAATGTTTCAACTACTTGACAACGTCAAAAACGAAGCAGTTCTGCGAGACTTCCTCAATTTTCTAAGGTGGCAACATCAAAAATGTAGCAATTCTGCGAGACTTCCTTCAATTTTCGAAGTTGACAACATCAAAAACGAAGCAATTCTGCGAGACTTCCTTCAAAAATGGAAAGTTAAGTGCAGAGCTGATGGCCTTGTACCAATGCGCGTTGCGATTTTCCCATTCCATTTGTTTAAAGTACTGCGCCTGCCACGCAAAAGTGATGCCAGGTCATACGAAGTGCTGCACCTGTCACACAAAATCATTTTCCCAAAACTGAAGATCTGACGCTCCAAAATGCAACCCCTCTCAGGAAATCAGCGCCCAGACCTCCTAACATCTCTTATGAACGTGTCTCTTGTACTGCGCCTGCCACGGAAAATGCATCTTTCCAGATCTTCGTCAAATGTTTCACGCCTGGCATCGTGCTTGGAAATGCTAGGAAACCCTCACGTTTTGCTCACTTTTGACAAGGTGCACAATCCCTTGCACCTGCCACGCGAAACGGCATCTGAACGTCCAAAGGTGGTCCGAACATGGTGTGCTTTGTACATTTTGACTTGGAAATGTGCTTCGCGCCACAACGGCGTGCACTTTTGCGACGTCACAACTTCTAAAAGTGGTCCGATCCTGGTGTGCTTTGTACATTTTGACTTGGAAATGTGCTTCGCGCCACAACGGCGTGCAACTTTTCATCTCTCATCTGACCACATGGCTCCGCACCCGCCGCTTTAGCGAGCCTACTTTTCGACCCTCCGGAGCCACAAATCATTGGAAAAACACAGTGTTTCGCGACTTTCCCACCTTTTTGCGCACCTGCATCTTCTTTCTGCTCACTCTTTCTCTTCTCTGATCTTCTCTCTTCAGCTCTTCTCCTCTCTGACTCTCCCCACCTCTGCTTTTCCATCTGTCCATATTGTCGGAAGTTTGACTTCTAAACTTTCTTCGATTACTATCACTTAGTATTGATGATAATGATTATTGATATAATATGAATATTCCAGTCAATATTGTTTATTAATGTATTGTTGCCAGCATTTGCCAGCACAATCCATTCAAGATATTACTGCCAGCGCCATCACGTGCCGAGGCCAATTATGCGCCAGTTCTAGTTTCTGATGATCATAATTCGATATTGATATGGATTATATAACTGTTGATTCTAGTCACCAGGTAATCCAACTTGACATGATTTGGTGATAGCATGGTTGATGATTGTGGGCGGTTCAAAACCTGTGGGTCCCGAATAGGAACTTCAACGGTGCTCCCACAAAACCAGCTCAATCTTCTCCCTTTCAGCGAGGATCATTTGATCAAGGGCGCCGAGGAGCTGCAAATCACGGATTTTTGATTTGGAGAATCATCATGAATCATCCAGCAAAAGTGGTGAATCTGTGTAATACGTGTTTTGATTTGAGTTTCTAAATATAAATAGAACTAAATAGATAAATAAATAAATGAATAGATATTTTATATATGCATGATTATGTCCAATTCAATTCGATCCAATTATTTCTGAGCGACCATGGGCGAAAGAGGCCATGGATGCGTGAGGTTGTATGTTTCTGTGGGCATCTCCGCACGGTATATTCTGTGACTCATGCAACAAAGAAATGAGAAGAACTTGTTCGATTTATCTTGCTACAAACATTCAATCAAATCAAATCAGCTCAACATGGAATCATTCTTCACATTGCTTGGCTGTTCATCACGTTCAAAACGGAAATAACTCGATCAGTCAATTTGTCAGGACAAATTGAAATCTGATTACCTCGCCATCACCTCACCATACGCATGGCCGCAGTTGGAATCATCAAGAAAAACGACGTCAGGTTACTGGAATCCTAAATGGTGAGCCCCCGCAGTTTTAAGATCTTAGAAGTGCATTTATAAATCCATGCACGATAGATATATGTATAATTAGTATACTATACTTTAGGAAGATGTATATATATATATATATATATATATATATTGTAGAGCTTCGCACACCGGCGATGCCATAAGGGCTTTGTATAGTAGTGTGAGCGTTGGTGTTGTTCATGCTCTGCGCGTGCGCGCAGGTGCAGAGCACAGTGTGATGTTCTTGTCATACCGCACCTTGTAACCATCTTACCGCATATCTTTTTGTCGCATGTTTGTGATTGTTCTTCTTGTTGTTCTTGTTATTGTTCTTGTTCTTCTTCTTTGTCTTCTTCTTATTTTTGTTGTTGCTGCAACACAGCTTATTTTCGCATTTTTTGTAAAACAGCTTAACAACCTAATTTCGCGCCGTTTGAAGTGGGATGACACTAGGGGGCAAGCTACGTAGCCGATAAAATCAAGATTAAGCGCGCAGATTTGCATTGGAAGCGAGAGACGACAGTACAAGGAGGTGTCCTCCAAAACAAAGAAGCAAACTGAAGAAAAGAGGTGTCCTCCGAGCTGATGCAAACATGCAAGGACATGTATAGTACATAGATATATAGATATATATTGTATAGCTCCGGTTTTGGTCAGACAGTGACAGATTAGTTTTTTTTCTCGGTTCCCGCAAGAGCCGCCGATTCTTGAGGGTGTGGCTCCATAACCTGCTCCTGGAGAGCTGACTAAGGTGCCCACTATTGCTCGGAAGCTCTAGTGTGGCAGGAGAGTTTCAAAGTCTTGAAGGCATCATCATTGTATTGCGTACAGGCCTCAATGCCAAAGCAGATTTTCTGTACGATTGCCAGCAGCTGCATGATCCAAATCTTCATTGGCTTGTCTGCGTCTTCGGTTGTCTACTTTTAGGTTCAAAAATCTTGCAATTTCAACACTTTTAAACTACTTTTTAGAAACTCCTCGAAACATGTAAAGTGCCAAATGTCCTTTCTGAAATCCTGCTGAAGCAACCGCCTTTTCCAAACTGTTTCTGCCTTTTTGGCAAAACTTCTGAAATCCTACTGAAACGACCAACTTTTCCAAACTTTTTCCACCTTTTTAGCAAAACTTGCGGCCAACCAAGGGGAAATCAAAAAACACATTTTTCAGTTTCTTGCAACTGTTTACAGCCTTTTGCAAGTGCACAAAGCTCCATGGAAGCTTTCAACAGTTATTGCTCTTCTTCCCTTGTGCGTGCGCTCCCCCTTTCGCAGCCAGGGTCGGCGGAGATAGATAGATGTATAGATAGATAGATAGATAGATAAATAGATAGATAGATAGATCGATAGATCGATAGATCGATAGATCGATAGATCGATAGATCGATAGATAGATAGATAGATAGATCGATAGATCGATAGATAGATAGATAGATCGATAGATAGATAGATAGATGTGTGTGAGAAAGAGGCTAAACTCTCCGTGTAGGAGGTATGTATTCGAGTGATTTTTCATGTAAAGCCTGCATCTTGATATGTAAAACGATATAGTGAATTCCCAAAAGCGATAACATGGGAATCAGTTCATGTGTGAAAGCATGCTGGGATGTGAAGGGGTTGTGTACATGACATGATGGTGGATACCTGTTCTAGAAGCATCTAGACATGTAGGCTGTGGGGTATATGTCCTGCCGAGCTCACACAACGGAAGATGTGCAAAAGTATGCTGACACCCTTGATCCTGGCCAATTTCTTTCTTTCTTATTTTTGCAAACGATTATGTATCTAATCACGTATTGTTAGGTGGTAACTGGCTGGATTTGGATGCTCTTTTTGTCTCGCCATTGTTCAAGCCTTCCGGATGAGCGTTTTGTATTTTCACGCTTTCATGCAAGCAGCGACGATGACAACAGGTCTCCTTTCCAACTTTCCTTGGTTCATGCCATTTTCCCGAAAATTTTGCCCTCTTTTGAACGATAACGAAAACGATAACGAAACGATCAGCATTTCTTGACAAAATGTCCTTCGCCGATGGATGGCCCAGATGCGAAAAGATTCTTGAGATGATTCTTTGCCGTTGAATATTATCACTTGCTTATTGCGATCTTTTCGCTTATGCATATTCTTTTGCAGCGCCCCATTGCTTTAGTCAATCCCAGTTCATCTCAGGCACAACCTGCAGGTCCGGTTTGACAATCTTTATCCTAGATGAAGATAGCCGAGGCAAAGGCATTGGACCATGTCGATGGTTTGCTACCCAGGCGCTGGCGAGTGAATGAAAGGCATGGAGCATGTCGCTGTGAGAGCTCATCCGGGCTTCTTCCAACAAACTGAATTCAAAGCTTGTTTCTGAGCTTGAGAAAGAATGGTGCAACTGTGATTTGCAGTTGCATTGGCAGGTATCATAGCATACCATACAGTTGGAGCGCTGCAAAAGAAAGCGCAGGGCAGTCAAAGATGCTGTAGACGCTGAAGTGGAGGTGTAAAAAGGCTTTCCGCATGCAGTTTGCCAGGGGATGCGGATGATGCAATCAGGATATAGTGTAAAACGATATAGCGAACTCCCAAAGACGATAACTTTGACCAAAAATCGCATTCTTCACCTAAGGTTTTTCCGATCGCTCTCACACACACATATATATATGTATATACACATTTATATATATATATACACATTTATTATATATATATATTTGAAACATATATATATATATAAATCTTAGTAGTTATGAACATGTTTAAAGTATACAAATATCTTTACATTCGCCGATTCCACAGTGAGGACGCCGTGGATTTGGTGAGCCATGGTGTCGGCAGCGTTGTGGACGCTGTGGACAATGTCTGGGGCCATAAAAAAACATTGATTTATGTGGCAAAAACGGGAGATTCGGCAGCAAGAGTGGGGGTATAAGTATCAAAAATGGGGAGATAGATAGATAGATAGATAGATAAATAGATAGATAGATAGATAGATCAATCGATCGATAGATAGATTGATAGATAGATAGATATATGTGTGTTTATATTTATTTTATATGTATATATATATATATATATATATATGTATATGTATATGTATATATATATATATAGTTGTATATATATATATATATTTGTATTTGTATATTTCATATGATATATTATGTATAGATGGATTAGCCCAGAAATGGCAGATTCATGAGGATTACGGATTTTCCCAGGAATGGAAAATTTAGACAGATTAACCACGCAACATTTGTAAATATAGTTCAATTGGAAACTGATGAATCAATGACGAATCGCGGTACTTTGAGAAGTCAGTGGGCTCAATTGTTTGCTATGTTGATGGGAAAATGATAGTTGCAACCATGTGATGGAATTGTCTTCCATGCTCCAAGACTACTCCAGACGGTTGTAAAAACTGATTGCATTTGGTTGGTGCATGGTGGTTTCCTCAACCTCGGAGTCCAACACTGAACAACCAACGGTAGATGATAGTAAACGTTCAATCAATGGTAGTAAGCAGATGCAAACAGTATACCAGACCGACAAAGAATTGGTTCAACAAACAGAACAGTTACATGATGTTACATGTCAGGATTCGATAAACTGAAAAGGACCCACATTCTATAGTGAACTACCAGAGATTAACACCCCCAACCCCTGGTGTTTGATGACTGGTCTTTTTTGGTGATCACGACCTAACCCATGGTTAATGGTAATGATGCACGAAGAACCCAACATGGTTAAAACATTTATTACGTCTAATTGAAAACATTAATATAATGTATAACTATCCACAAATTTCAAACCCCCGGAACCAACCAGGAGCGCTCAAGATGAGTTAGGGTCTGGGTTTCACTGCTTCGGGCGTCGCCTCAGGGTCTGGATGGCACAGCCAAAGAACTCCAGCGGAAAGGCCAACGAACTGTGGCTATAGGAAACCACGGGAAAATCATGGGAAATCATCGGAAAATCATGGAAAAATCATGGGAAAATACATTATCAATGGAGGATAATGCCTCCACGCCCCCACCATGCAGTTTTTGGAGATGAGGATGGGTCAAGTTACCTATGAAATTACCATATGACTGGGGGAATCACCATCCATTCACCAGCTATGACTTAGGGTACCATTTCCAGAATGTTGACACATAACCATATGGTGGGGAGATAAATAACAGTTATAGCTGGATTTTTGCGAATTCCATGAGGAGTGAGGACCCCAACTAATACTGGTTGTTGGCTTCAAACATGTTATTTATTTTCCATAATATATGGGATAATCCTTCCCATTGACGAACATGTTTCAAGATTGTTAAAACCACCAACCAGAATAGTGTAGGTATATATGGGATGACAGAGGCTTTTAGACACTGCTAATTTGGCTGTGCGTCCATACCCTTGAAGACAGGAGATCTTTGCCATTTGGACTAGAAAACCCATCTCTGCAAAAAACAATAAATATCCTTTTTGTGTTTTCAGAAAAATTGTCCCAGTGAGCAGTGTTTTGGGAATCTTTTGCTTCCTAAATCATCCTACTATGGGTTTGTCTGAAAATACGGTACCGCAAAACCCCATTGTTTTTCAATGTTCATCATCTTCTTTTAGTGTCCAATCCATGGGGGTAGCGCCAAATCATCAAATCATATATTAGCCCAGCTATTATTGGGGATCCCGAAATTTAAGCAAGCAAAGCCCCATTTCCTGACACACCCATATATATATATATATGGTCCCGTGTCCCGTGTTCCCACCCCCCCATGGGATGGGGGGGTATGATGCCCCTGTGGTGGTGGTATGTATGTATGCATGTATGCATGGCTGTATGTATGTATGCATGCATGCATGTATGTATGCATGCCTGTATGCATGCATGCATGCATGCATGCATGCATGTATGCATGCATGTATGTATGTATGTACGTATGTATGTATGTATGTATGTATGTATGTATGTTATGTATGTATGTATGTATGTATGTATGTAATGTATGTATGTAATGTATGTATGTATGTATGTAAGTAAGTAAATAAGTAAGTAAGTAAATAAGTAAGAAAGTAAGTAAATAAGTAAGTAATGTATGTAATGTATGTATGTATGCATGTATGTATGTATGTATATATGTATGTATGTAATGTAATGTCATGTCATGTAATGTAGTGCAATGTATGCATGTATGTAAGTAAGGAAGTAAGTAGGTAAGTAAGTAAGAAAGTAAGTAAGAAAGGAAGTAAGTAAGTAAGTAATGTATGTAGTAAGTAAGTAATGTATGTAGTAAGTAAGTAATGTATGCATGTATGTATGCATGTATGTATGTATGCATGTATGCATGCATGCATGTATGTATGTACGTATGTATGTACGTATGCAATGTATGTAATGTATGTAATGTATGTAATGTATGTAATGTATGTATGTATGTATGTATGTATGTATGTATGTATGTATGTATGTATGTATGTGTGTACGTATTTATGTATGTATGTATGTATGTATATCTATTTACATGTTACATGCATTTCTCTATGGTAGCGTGAGTGTACGTACACGCATATGGAAAACCATCCGATATAACCAAGACACGTATAGCTTATGTACATATCTTACATACATATACATACATTACATACATACATATACATACATACATACATACATACCATACATACATACATACATACATACATACATACATACATACATACATACATACATACATACATACATACATACATACATACATACATACATATATATATATATACATATACGTGCATACATGCATACATGCATACATACATACATACATACAAAACATTACATTACATTACATTACATTATGTTACATTACATTACATCACATTTCATTACATTACATCACATTACATTACATTACATTACATTACCTTACATCACATTACATTACATTACCTTACATCACATTACTTACATACATACATACATACACACCCACCAGCAAAGCCACCACCACCCCACCACCCCCACAGGCCACAGGGGGGGGAACCAGAAGAACCAGAGGAGACTGTCCATCCATACCAGACACGCAGACAGACAGACAGACAGACAGACAGACAGACATACATGCATACTTACATACATACATCCATGCATACATACATCCATGCATCCATGCATCCATGCATCCATGCATCCATCCATCCATCCATCCATCGACTCATGCATCCATGCATCCATGCATCCATCCATCCCTCCATCCATACATACATAGAGACATACATACAGACAGACATACAGACATACATACATACAGACATACAAACAGACATACCTACATACATAACCACCACCACCCCACCACCCCCACAGGCCACGGGGGAGGGGTCCAGAAGAACCAGACGATACTGTCCACCCATACCCATTGGTGGGGGGGGGGCTGACCAACGTTGCACCATATATATATAAATATATATATATATTCATATATTCATAAATGTTTATTTGGTGCATTCAGGGAGCCACCAGACCTCAAGGCCGACCGGCAGGTGTGGTGGGCGCGGTCGGTGACGGAGTGGCGGATGCCGTCGGGGGACCTCAGCTGCGCTGCTGGAACTGGTGGTGAAAACCCCAGGAATCGTTCGTGGATATCAGTGGATATATATATATAATATGATATTAAAAGGTTTTTAGAATATGTCTATGAATATAAGACATCCACTATTTTGTTTCTAAACCCAGTGAATTTTCACTAGACATTGCCCCCCGACCTAAAACTCTCCAATCCTATGGGGTGAACGAACCCACTTCCGAGTGATGCTCTGCATTTCTGACATGGGATTTGTCTGAAAATAAGGTACCCATAGATCCAGCATCCAGCGTCTTTATCATAGATTTTCCGACCATTACCATCGCCATTTTAAGGGATATATACACAATGTTTGGACACACCCATTGGCTGCATCCTCTATGAACGAGGGGATTTCATATAGGCAACGAAGATCAACCCAGGAGAACTTGCAAACGTGGTCTGAAGATTGATACTGTACCTGGAAGACTCTGGGAGGTGGATGGGACAATGAATTTACTCTCACATGGGTTTACATCATGTTACATCTCCATTTGTAAATTATTTTTCCAACACATAACTACCTTTTCAGACACATGGTTTTGGATGGCATCAAAACCAATGAGCCCAATGATTCCTTGAAGATTGGCCGCTTCCGCATTGTTGTCTCATGTCGAAACGCCTACACGAAAAAAAAATCTGGTTCAACCCCCTGATGGCAGGGTCGATTTTTTATATCCCTTAAAACTATCTCTAAATGATCTCCCTATTATATGAATCAAATACAGATCCCCATCAAAACTAGTTTAATTTCATCAATTGCATCCTCATATCATTGTGTTTTTCATGATATCCATAGTACTGAAATCCTGGTTCATGTCATGGCCATTGTAAAATCCCTGTCGTTTCTGGTTTGGAAGCCCCTGCATGCTGCACCTTGGACTCAAGCCGACACCCCTTCGGCGGTGGCCCGCGGCAACCTGCCGTGGGCCCCACGTCTTCCAACGTCTTCGTGTGGCATGACCTTATTTCGGTAGCCTGGTGGCAGGGAGGTTCACCCAGGAAGAATCGATGCAAAGATGGTCATTTAATCCGTATATGTTTGGTATGCAAGCAGAAACATATATTGACCAAATGAACATGGGGGGTTAAGGCATATTTAAGCAGCCACATGTATATATATATAGATTATACAGTGTATACTTTGCAAACAAGTTAATCTTGACCAATAGGTCTTGATAGGACCAAAAAAGTGTTTTCCATACTTGGTAATGGCATGATGATTCCCAATGACTCATTTCTTTTGCTGATTTAACCACCAACGATTTGTTCGGTACAATGTTTGAGGACCAAAGCAACATGGTGTTTCTCTGAAGTGGAACATTTAAACTTGTGTTGCAACTGGTGTTTTCATTTTTTTTGGGGGGGGTGGCCTTCCTACACAAAATTGATGATGGATGGAGGATTGACGTTTGGGATTTCAACAGTTTGAACATGTTTCCTGCTACATCAGATCCGAATTTGATCATGACCTCCCGTCGTAACGTCACTAAAATGATGGTTAGCAAGGGGTAATCAATCCCAAATGCCTGTAGTATGATATTTGCAGGTTGGTGCATAATTCAGCCCGATCAGATGCTGACTCAAGCATTCAAATTGACCCAAGACCCCAAATGCCAGTGGTCTTCCTTTTTGTGTTTGGCCATGGGTTTCAACGATCTGTGGTTAGTAAAGAAATCGATGACCCCATCTGACTTGCTCTTTGGTAATCTAAGCTGGCCAGGCTATGCCAGATTCCCAGAAAGTTGATTTCCACGGTTCCTAGATGTTTTTTTCTGATTTTTTTAAAGGCATTTCCCCAGTCTCATGGCTGGGACGAGAATGGCAATATATGTTGTTGACACCGTTTTCCGACAAATCACAACACCATATCAATACTATTCAATATCCTTAACGTAAAACACCAAAAACAACAAGAAAAAGGCACAACAAATATTGCCATTATTTTAAATCAATATATATATATATACAGATTAATATCACATAAATACTGGTAACTAACAGCCATTATCTTGGTGATAAATCAATAAAACACTTATTTTGAGCCGGGTTCACAGGTCATCGCAACTGCGTCGCTTCGTCGCCAGGTACGGAACCCTCTTTGCGGCGGCCGTTGCGGCCGCTGCCGCGACCGTCGCGAGCTACGATGAGGAACTGGAGCTGGATGCCATGAAGGTGCAGGAAATTGGTGACATATGGTGATGGCCCAGTTAGTTCGTTCATTTACCTATAACAAGTGGTGATTTTCAATAGTTATGCTAGTTTACCAGAGGGTAGATATATATATATATATGATATTATATATATATATATATTATACGTACTCGTATATCATGATATTGAGCGGAGGTAGCAAACATGATTCGTTAATGATGTTTAAACCTCTACTATGCCACATAGACCCCAAATGCTCCATGAATAGTAAGTATGGCAGATTTACTAGCATTTATCCAGAAAATGAACCAGACAAAGGTACTAAACTTACCCAGACTTACCCTCAAATACCCATTTACAGTTGTTGATTAAATGCTTCATTTCGCATGGCGTATCATAAAGTGACGTGCTAAATAAAAATCAAATGCCAGAATATGTTGTTCCAATACATTCCAAGACAAATACAAATATCCCAAATGACGACCTTGGGTATACTAGGCACGGTTTGTTGCTAGGCATGCCGCATCACATGATATCACGTGCACTCCTAAATTTGAAATGCAACCCAGCAAGAGCATGCAAGAGTCATATTCAGTAGTAAAAATTCATCGCTTGGGACTACATTGTTGGACTTTGATCTGTTTCTGCGTTCTGGTGAATAGTTGTACTTGTAAAGCAGGACTCATAGCTTTTCGTACACAATCCTAAGTACGGCAATCTATTCAGGTTCCCTAGTCCATTCATTCCATAGTTACAAACCATGATATATATAACCGTAGTACCCTCTGGTAAACTAACATAACTATGGAAAATCACCATTTTTCATGGGAAAATCCACTGTAAATGACCATTTTCATTAGCTATGTTAGTTTACCAGAGGGTAACACCTGAGGACTGATAGACGACTCGACTTCTAACTCAGTCGCCACCAACGAGAAAACCAGATCGCCCCCCCACGAGTTCACAGAGATATCTCTGAGGTTTTTGGCCTCCAAGTTACAAGCTGATTCAACCAATTACCCTCTGGTAAACTAACATAGCTATTGAAAATGGCCATTTATAGTGGATTTTCCTATGAAAAATGGTGATTTTCCATAGTTATTTTAGTTTACCAGAGGGTAACTATAGTTGTAGAATGTCATATGCATCCTCCCAGAAAGCTACTTGAACCAACTTATTTGCGTCAACGAAGCTATCTATATGGGACCTCGCCTTGTTGTGGCCCCGAGTGACTCCCCGAAGGTGATGTTGCTCCAATCGAAGTTGCAACTTCGGACGGCCGTCGACCAAGGTGGGGATGACAGTGTCCACGATACAAAGGGTAAGTATTTCACGAGAGGTTGGACTGTAACTCACATTTATATTTACAAATGTTTATAGCTATTTATAACTCATGTATACAATGTTGCCAACATTTCACTCATTGGGGTGACGAGTTCGTTAGCTAAGTGGTTTTATCATATTTCCCTGTCACCAGGGTCGTTAGAACTGAGGGGCCTCACCCTGCTTTAGTAGTGAATCTATTCATGATTTGGGGTCGAAAGGTTGTTTTTAAAGGCGGATGCGATTACAATGCATGTAGGATAACAAATATAAGAAAGGGGATGTTTGTCCGTGCTTTTTGAGGGATTTATGAGACAAATCTGTGCGTTCGGGGTGTTGAGATGTTGGATCGCGGCTCACTTGTTGGCAAAGCCTGCAAGGTTAGATCTTGTTTGGAAGTTAAGCTACCAGTTTGCCATGGTTTACAGTTACAGTTGATGAAGATCCACATTGTGCTCATCGGTCCAGTAGATCATACTTCCCAATTCTAGCACCATTCAACCATATGTTTCACAAACCTCCACCACCAGGGGGTTTGTTTGAACATGGGGTATACCGGAAATAAAACATGACACTTTTACTAAGGCAAATCATGATGGATGGAACAGGTTTTTGTCCCCAAATTTTCAGGCAAAGCCAATGACCCCGGGATGACTGGATGACTTTGGATGCCAAAAACTGAGGTAGCTCCAGGTCCAGTTTTATCTCTGGTGTAGACCTTCTGGAGCTTCGCGTGAGAGCCCTGGAGGCCAAGTTGGACCGGGTCACTGCCTCCAGCGGCACACCCTGGCAGCTTAGCGCAGATGGTTGTGGTGGAATCAGCGAGCTAAAGAGCAACTTTTGTGGATGAAAAGAGCATTTTTTGGGGCCATTTTGGGGGGGGCCGAAGATGGCCGAAGTACTTGATATCCATTGACAACTTTGGTGAAGACAAACTGGGAACATGGTTGGTTGTTGGATGTTGTTGGCTTCAAAATGTGTTGCCCTTACTGTAGGATGCTTTGGCCCCAATCCACGATCGTTTTTTTGCTGCGGCGTGTCCGACGTGTCCCAACCAATCAGCAGATCGGTAGAAGGGGGAACATTCAACAATCCAATGGACCTATTTATCATGGTACCATCTGGTTATTTAACATAGCCATGGAAAATGGCCCATTTAAAGATTGTTTACCTGGGTTTACCTATTAAAAATGGTGATTTTCCATGGCTATGTTAAATAACCAGATGGTATATCATGGTTTAATGACCATTCTCATTTGGGTTTGTCTCAAAGTGGGGAATGCCCTTGGCAGTGGCAGTTGTTCCCAGCCGGAGCAAATCATGGCTTCAGGGATATCCAAATTTTTGTATGCTTACCTTCCGTTAATCAAACGTGGCAATTGAAGTTTTGGTCCTTTGTTTGATTACCAAAGGGTAAATTAATTACCCTCTGGTAAACTAACATAACTATGGAAAATCACCATTTTAAATGGGAAAATCCACTATAAATGGTCATTTTCAATAGCTATATTAAATTACCAGAGGGTAAACCTGTGTTTGTGGATGAATTGCAGATCAGCCCAAAGTGGTCCCGGTTCGTTTTTGGCGATTTCGATTCGATTTTTTATAGAAGGAATTGACTTCGAGAGAATTGGTTTTCGATTCCGCCTAGCGCGATTCGATTCCGATTCGATTCGGAACGATTCGAGGTCTGCGGGGAGTATGGTCGTTAGTAAGGGATTCTTGATTAATATCAATTCGTTAGCTTGCGATTCAATCTTTGATTTGGATTCGTCGTTGAATTTCGATTCGATAGCTTGCGGATTCCATTTGTGGTTCGATTTGATAGCTTGCGGTTCTTTTTCAATATATATATATATATATTTATTTATTTATTTATCTATATATATATACATACAAATATATACATAAGGAGACATACATACATATATTAATAAATATATGTAGATATTAATTTATATATGAATATATATATATATATTTATATATTTAAATATATATAAATAATATATATATATATATATTCATATATAAATATATGTTTTTACATTTTATTCATATATAAATATACGTGTTTACATTTCTGAAACAAAAGCAGCTTCTCGCAGCCTTTTCGGGCGGCGGGCCGCGGCGATCCCTAGGAACGTTGGATGTTTGACAGGCGTGGGAACATTTGCGCGCTGTCAACCTTGTGTGGAATTCTTTCCTATGATGCACACAATATTTTTTGTATGACCCTCGGATATCCAGGGCAAAATTCACAGTTTCAGACCTCCAGAAGGGTCAGATTATGCTATGTAGGCATGTAGGTACTTAGGTACGTAGCTATGTATATATGCATGTATGGATCTATGTGTTTGTGTATATGGATGCATAGGGTTCAAGGCTTGGTACGTAGGCATGTGGAATGCGACAGACATGGAGCCGTAATTCTACAAATTTAATTATGATGCCAATAATATCGAATTCACATCCCGTGTGCCCCCGAATACAATGGACGGCGATGGAAAAGTGAGTTTATGTCAAACAAACAGTCTTCTGTATGGTTGGCTCTCCTCTTCCCATTGGACACAATTGAAGCCTCGGATGTGGTTTCAGACCAGTTTCATACCAGTTTCAGACCCCCAGAAGGGACATGTTTGGAATGCAAGTATGTAGGTTAGTTTGTTTTCCGGACTCAATCCGGACTCCACAACCAGAATGCAGGATTCATCTCCTTTTCGTTACCATTCCTCCTCTGATCTCTCTTGTCCTAGATGCGGATGGCTGAGGCTGCTCGTGATGCTGGACCATACAGTCACTGCGTCAGGAAAGCTCTCTGATTGGAGCCTGGGCCCACACGGGAAGGAAGTCCTTGCAAGCCTCTTTCAGATTCATTTCAGACACATTTCAGACTTATTTCAGATTTATTTCAGAGCTATCTGCAGGCAGTACTTTGGGTGAATTCAATTTCCCAGCTCTAGCTGAAACCCCACAAGTGCTCTGACAATTCCGGAAGGAATCCGGACTTTACTGCCAGAATGCAGGATTTGTTTCTTTTTTGGTAACCATCCTCATATAGCGGCATTGTGTTTTGCAGATTGTGAATCTTGAGCAGAAAACGGGCAGCAATGTAGGCGATGTCAAGCAGAAAGTAGGTAGAAAGTAAGTTCGGACATGAATCTCTTGCAGCGAATCCGGACCGAATCCGGGCCCGACAAGCAGAATCCATTGATTTGTTTCTAGCCGGTGAACATCTCAAATAGCAGCCATGTGACCTCCACACAATGAGCGTGGTTAAGCACCCTTCCTCCTCTGATCTCTCTTGTCCTAGATGCGGATGTCTGAGGCTGCTCGTGATGCTGGACCATACAGTCACTGCGTCAGGAAAGCTCTCTGATTGGAGCCTGGGTCCACACGGGAAGGAAGTCCTTGCACAAGTCTCCTTCAGGTTCATTTCAGTCACATTTCAGACACATTTCAGATTCATTTCAGAGCTATCTACAGGCAGTAGTTTGGGTGTCAATGTCCCATCTCTAGCTGAAACCCCACAAGTGCTCTGACAATTCCGGAAGGAATCCGGACTTTTTTGCCAGAATGCAGGATTTGTTTCTTTTTTGGCATATATTACTACAAATATAGATACGTACATAAGCACCTACATACCTACATATGAGCCACGAGATACTTCGGAGCTCTAGCTTCCTAGGGTTTCCAAGTGGTTTCAAAGCAGTTTCAATGTTTTGTTTCCTCTTTGGTTCGAATTAAAAAAATCTGGTAGATGCAGGTTTGAGTTAAAAACACCTACATACCAAAGCTACACAGATACATACGTACATACCTACATACGTACATGAGTGCAGCCGCAATTCGGTAGTATTGGAATCGTAATTGGATCTGCCGAATTACAATTCTAATTTAACCGAATTAAAAACGCCTACATACAAAAGCTACATTGATACACACAAACACACCCAAATACAAATCAAGTTTTAGGCTGCATTTTGGAAAAATAGCATGCATGATTGGCTCACCCTTCCTCCCCTCTCTCTGTATGTGTGTATGTAAGTATGTAATGTATGTGTGTGTGTATGTATGTATGTATGTATGTAGGTAGGTAGGTAGGTAGGTAGGTATGTACGTACGTATGTATGTATGTCTGCATGTACGTACGTACGTACGTACGTATGTATGTATGTATGTATGTAAGTCTATATGCGTGCATGTATCTAACTATTCTATGTAAGTATGTATGCATGTAGGTCCGTCTTTCTGGGAAAAGTTACTGTATGATTGGCTCTGCCTTTCCCTCTCCCTTTCGATGGGGTTTCAGACAAGTTTCAAACCTGTTTCAGACCCTCAGAAGGGACATCTTTGGAATGCAGGTATGTAGCTATGTAGTAGGTACGAAGGTATCTCCGTAGGTATATATCCATGTGCGTGTGCGTGTATCAAGCGAGTTTTGTCCCGTAGGTTGCACATATGTTTCCGTTGCACCCGCGAAAAGCTTATAGAGCAGAGAAGGTAGTTGAAATCTACCTGAACTCAGCATGTCTGCTGTATACGGCTAGTATACGGCTCATCTTGGTCAAGCCCTAGTTTTGACTTGAACTCAGCATGTCTGCTGTATACGGCCTGTATACGGCCAGTATACGGCTCATCTACAGGGCTTGACCAAAATGAGCCGTATAATAGCCGTATACAGCAGAAATGCTGAGTTCAAAGGAGTTCCAGAGCTTGACCAAGATGAGCAGTATACCGTATACCAAATTCGATTCTACATTCATGATGTAGTTGAAAACTACCTGAAACCAATTACATGCGTACCTGGAGCCGCGTTTGTGGCCAAATGGTAACTTTGGGGTCAAGGCAGCAACCAGCAAAGCAGCCTGGCAGGTACCTGGATCGCCTCCTTCCTTCTGACTCTCCACCAACACTTGGTGCACAGTGCGGGTGCGCTCGCTAGCTTAGCTTGCGTTTGGTTGAGGATGCATACCAAAGATCCGAAGCGGACAATAACAACTATGTCCGTTGGTATGTGCCATTGCCTACCAGATATATAGATCATATGGGTTGCAATTTTACTGATGGTATCTTTTGGCCCTTGGCGTTCCAGGGCAGGTGTTGGCCATAATGGTGATGCAATCGCCCGCTTGGGACTGACGGACGTGAATCATAACCTGCAGGCATCGGAGGCATCACGGGGATATGTCATGTCCACTGATGGTATATAATGTATGCCTCTTTCAACATCACGGGGATATGTCACGGGCATAATGTATGATAATGTATATTAAGTTTTTTCCAGTTATGCTTCAGTTGCATTCCCGGACGAAATTCGATAGTAGGATTGGTTATATACACACATGCATACATACCAACCTACGTACCTACCTAGCTACCCAGCTACATATCTACACGCCAAACCTGTCCCTTCTAGGGGTCTGAAACTACTTTGAAACTAGTCTGAAACCTGTTAAAATCTTCAAATGTGACTTGGTGGGGGCAAGATACATACAGAGATGGAAATCATGTTTGCCCTTGGAGTTCCAGGGTTCATAGCCAATCGTCCGTACCCTCATAGTTATATAGTTCAATTAGCCTTGTGGACTTTGTTGTTCAAATTCCACCTTCTTGTTGTAGCAGGATAGTTTTCATGGTTATGGGTCGAATTTGCGTGATTTCCCAATAGATTGAATTCCTCATCGTTCGTATTTTAGATTTGTCTTCATATCCCTGGCCATGTAATTTAACCGTTACCATGTCTTGGCCGCGCCAGGAGCAAGATCCAGGCTATAACGTGTTCCGCTGATGTAGAGACGGAAAAGGGCCGTGATGGATACTGGCGGCTGGCTGGTTCATTTTTGAGAA